CTAAACCCTCACTTATTTTGCATCCTGGAGCACCTGAAAAGGTGAGATCATGTCGTTGGGCGCCTATTGAAAGAGTGCGGGTTGTGGGTGGGCTGCGTCAGGGCAAGGTTTTGTCAAGTTGCGTGGAGAGGACGTGCTGTGGTCATTCTCGGCCCCACCACGAAGTTGTCAACCCAACCCTGAGCGTTTTAGGGCGTTCTTTCTCAATGAGGTCTCTCAGGACGGCACACGAAACCCTAAACCCTAAACCCTAAACCCTAAACCCTAAACCTCATGTCTGATGCTTGGGCTGAGCTGCGGGTGTCGATTGGGCCATACGCACTTGAGGGGCGTGCTGCGCAGGTCTCGCCTTCGCAGGACAAGGTTTAGGTGAAGGGCGTTTAGGGTTTAGGGTTGGGTTTGGGGTTTGGGGAGGGGTTTGGGGTTTGGGGTTTGGGGTTTGGGGTTTAGGGTTTGAGTCCCTCAGGGGTTTTGGGTTTCGGGGTTGGGGCTTAGGGATGGGTTTAAGGGCCTGTAGAGTGGATGGAGATTTGCGGGCTCCATACTTTGGGATGTTCCGCCTTATACGAACAGTCCTTAGTAGGGATTATTAAAATAAGCGGGTGCTGTACTACAATCCCTATTACGGACTGCTAGTATAGGGGGGAACATCCCAAGCTTTAGGGTTTGTAGGGCTTGGATACAAAGCCGCCCTCGTAAGGAGGGAGGCAGGGCCTGGTGCGATGAGCTGCTTTAGGGGGCAAAAGGAGGGACCGCTAGAAGGGACGAAGGGACCCTTCATCTTACTCCCCTATAGATCCCCAGTATAAACCTTATGTAGCCCCTATATACCTAAGTATCTTTGTTTGGGTTGGTTACTTAATAAGTTTATAAGGGAACCTTGAATCAAAAAAGGGAAAAGGGTACTGGTCTACCAAGCTAGAAAAAGGCCTACAAACTCCACAAACCCTTGAAACCCAAGGAAAAACCCTATACACCCTAGTATAAGCCCTGTAAACCCTACAACCCTAGAAGCCCTATAAAACCCTACAATTCCCTAGAAAAGAACTAGAACAGCATATAAACCCTGTAAACCCCTAACAAGACCCCATAAAACCCGATAAAATCTATAAACCCCCATCAACCCTGTAGTGCCTACAAACCCGAAAATTTAAGACACCCATAAAACCCTGTAGCTTAGGGCTTAGGACTTAGGGCTTAGGGCTTAGGGCTCAGGGCTCAGGGCTTAGGGCTTGGGGCTTGGGTTTAGGGTTTAGGGTTTAGGGTTTAGTACCGGGTTTGGGGTTTCGGGTTTCGGGTCCGCCGACCCTGGCGGCGTGTTGGATGGGAAAAGGAGGTGAAAACCTCCCTCCTTACCCCCCCAAAACGCCCGAAGGGGGGGGGGGAGGTAGGGGGGGGCACCCCGCCAGCTTCCTCTTTGAGGCTCCCGCCTGCCCCCCCCCCCCCCCCCCACCCCCTACCCCCCCGCCCCTTTCCCCTACCCCCCCACCCCCCCCCCCCCCCCCCCCCCCCCACCCCCCCCACCCCCCCCCACCCCATACCCCCCCCCCCCCCCCCAACAGGAACCGCAAACAAAAACCTTAAACTTGTTCTCCTGCGGGGTCGGGGCTTGAGCCGGAGGCTCTTAAATTTAGGTTGGGACTTTGAGGCCGGCGCTAAGCGAGAGCAGCAGCACTCAGTTTACACGACCACCCACACAAGAAAACCCTGAACTCAAAACCCTGCCAGAAATTACGGTTTAGGGTTTAGGGTTTAGGGTTTAGGGTTCAGGGTTTAGGGTTTAGGGGCACAAGCCCCAAAACAGTTTGTGTCTATGAACTCTAAACCCTAAACACAAGACGCTGAAACCCTACAACCCCGACCCCCGAGCGCCCGAAACCCATGAACCCTAAACCATGGAGACGGGTGGAAGGTTTAGGGTTAAATAGCCATGAGACCCCAAACGATTCAACCCCCAAACCTGAAATCCTAAACCCTAAACCGCACCCCCCCCCCCCCCAAACTCCCTAAACCCTAAACCCTTAACCCTGGCCCTAGATTCTAAACCAAACCCCTAAACCCCTAAACCCCTAAACCCCTAAACCCCTAAACCCCTAAACCCCTAAACCCATGATTGCCACGCCGGCCTGGCCTGTAGAGGCTGCTGTTCGGTCGCACCTACCAGCTTCCGTGAGGTTAAAAGGAGGGGCAGGGGGGGGGGGGGGGTTCAGGGAGGTTTTGGGGTGGCTAAGGCTTTAGGGGGTTGGTGGGGGGCGCAGCAGGGGTGTTTCCGAGGTTTCGGGGGCTTAAGGGGGGTTTAGGGTTGTAAGAGGGGGAGGGTGGGGGGGGTCCAGCTATCAGCAAACGGACCCGAAGTTGCGGTAGAATCAACCCGGCACCAGACCCTCAAGTTTTGGGTGTACGGTGGTTTGAGGGTTCTGGGTTTAAAGTTTAGGGCTTCAGGGTTTGTGAGCGTCTAAGGGTCAGAAAGGTTTTGAGGGCTCGGTGTTTTGAAGAGGGCTCGGGGTTCTGAAGATCTCGGTGTTATGGGGGGGCTGCTGGCGCTTTAGTGGGTTTAGGGTTCTAGGGCATGCGCGCGTTTTTTTTTTTTTTTTTTTTGGGGGGGGGGGGGGGGGGGCGGGTGGGTTATGCACAAGTTTTTTTTTTTTGGGGGGGGGGGGGGCACTTAGTTGTTACTGATATATGTTACAAGTAAGGGACCTATGGTATCAAAAATCATTACAATAGGTACGTAGAACCGTCATATGGAGCCGGAAGAATTACAACTAGAAACCCCCTTATGGCCCCTATATAGCTATGCTAGAGGAACCCCCAAAACCCTAATCTAATTATCAAGGCCCCTATAGTATAGCCCTAAACCCTACACCCTAAACCCTAAACCCTATTCTAATTAAGGCCCCTACATTACGTTGTAACCATGAACCTTCATGTTTAAGGTTGTGGGTTGAGGTTTGAGGGTTTGAGGCGCCAGGAATCCCTCTAGAGGCGATATGAGGTACGCAAATCCCTGGTTCCGCATTTAGGGAGTAATTGGGAGCAGGGTTTGCCCTAAACCCTAAACCCTAAACCCTAAGCCCGAAGCCCTATGCCCTAAGCCCTAAGTCCTAAGCCCTAAGCCCTAAGCCCTAAGCCCTAAACACACTAAACCCTAAACCCTAAACCCCCTGAACTCTGAACCCTGAACCCTGAACCCTGAACCCTGAACCCTGAACCCTGAACCCTGAACCCCCGGATCCCAAGCGGACGCTTGGATGCTGGCTTGTGGTGTGGATAGCGATAGAAGTAACTAAGGTTTTAAGTACCTTGAACTTACCAATCGACTACGTTTGAGTTCCCCTGAACCTGCAAGTAAGCCCCAAGAGAGACCTTTAAGACCCCCAAACCCTAACCCTAAACCCTAAACCCGATACCCAAAACCCTAAACCCACCCTAAACCCTCCTCAAACCCTAAACCCTAAACCCTAAATCCTAAACCCTAAACCCTAAACCCTAAACCTTAGCCCCTCAGCCCTAAGCCCCCTCAAGCTCGGCCTGGCGCTGGATTCTCCGCCAAGGCCGCCCAGTGCCGAGGCATGCGCACGCGCGTGCCCATGCCGCACCCGCACCCGACAGGGGACCCCGCAGCTGCGGCCCGAACTTGAGGCCGCGGCCGCACTCGCGTGCCGAAACCGCACCCCATACCTGCACAGGAAAAAAGGCAAAAAGGAACCATGGGGACAAAACCTAAATCCTAAACTCCTGAACCCTAAACTCCTATATAAATCCCTACAGCCCTGAAGAGGAAGAGGGAGAGGAGGAGGAGGGGGTGGGAAGGGGGAAGCACTGTGTTGGGGGGTTTCCCTAAACCCTAAACCCCAAACCCTAAACCAAAGGGGTGTTTTAGGCTAAGGGAGCCTTTCATCAGAGCACGTGGGTATGCTTTCAGTCGGGGTCAGAGCTCAGTCTTATGACCCATAGGGTTTGGGGTTTAGGGTTTGAGGTTTAGGTAGGGTTTAGGGTTTAGGGTTTAAAGTTTAGGGGGGTTTAGAGTTCAGGGGTGGTTTTTCACCTCGGCCCCGACAATGCCGGAGGGCTTTCTCCCAGATCCCTTCCAAACTGCGTAGCAAGCCGGAGCCCATTCCGTGCAGAAACTGGCTTAGCTTGGCGTGACTCTGGACTTCAAATTGGGACCCTGGGCAATTGTAAGTCAGCTTCCTCTTGAGGGTTAGGGCATATAGGGTTCAGGGTTGAACCCCAAAAACCTGCACCATAAACCTTTTTGCTTGAACCCTATTAACCCTAAACCCTAAACCTAAACCGTAAACCCTAAACCCTAAGCCCGAAACCCTAAACCCTAAACCCTAAACCCGCCGAATTGCCTTTGGCAGCGGGAGCAGCAGCCTGGCAAGCCATGGCCGGGCGAGCCGTTTCAGGCCGGCCGCCTTCGCGTTCTTCGTTGTAGGGGGTCCAAAAGGGAGGGGGGTTTAGGGCTTAGGGCTTGGGGTTTAGGGTTTAGGGTTTAGGGTTTAGGGTTTAGGGTTTAGGGTTTAGGGTTTAGGGTTTGGCTTCTCTGTAGGGTTCTGAAAGATAGGGTCCGTAAGGGGGTTTATGGTTTAGGGTTCCTAGAACCCCAGAACCCTAAACCCCAAACCCTAAACACTAAACCCTAGAACGCTTGAACCCTCGAACCCTTGAACCCTAACAAAGGCATCCTGGACTAAAAGCCCGAAAGCCCGGCTTGCGTCGGTCTTGGGAACTTAGAACCTCGAACCGCACCAACAAAAAAACAACCTTAGGGTTTAGGGCTTTAGGGATTAGGGCTCTGGAGTTCTGGAGTTCTGGAGTTCTGAAGTTCTGGGGTTTAGGGTTTAGACGGTTTAGGGTTTGGGCGTATCCTAAACTTAAATCCTTAAATCCCCAAAGCCCTGAAAGCCTGAACCCTAGAACCCTAAACCCTGAGACCCTGAACCGTTAGTCACCTAAACCCAAAGCCCTGAAAACCCCTTAATTAAAACCCGAAACCTTGAACCGAAGACCGAAACCCTAAACCCCAACCCCTGCACCCTGAACACCCTAAACACCCCAGACACCCTAAACCCTGAACCATAAACACTCTAAACCCTGAACGCTCTAAACCCTGAACACCCTAAACCCTGAACACCCTAAACCCTGAACCCTAAACACCCTGAACCCTAAACCCTAAACCCTGATACCCTAAACACCCTAACACCCTAAACACCCTAACACCCTGAACACCCTGAATCCTAAACCCTAAAACCCTAAACCCTAAACCCTAAACCCTAAACCCTAAACCCTATAAGCAAAGAAGGGGCAGCCCGGGGTCCCAACGAAGAGCCGGGGAGGACTGCGGCCGCCGGAAGGCGCCCGTATTCCTGGTAGGGTTTAGGGTGTAGGGTGTAGGGTTTAGGGTTTAGGGTTTAGGGTTTAGGGTTTAGGGTTTAGGGGTTAGGGTTTAGGGTTTAGGGTTTAGGGTCTGGGGTCTGGGGTCCAGGGTTTAGGGTTTAGGGTTTAGGGTTTAGGGTTTAGGGTTCAGGGTTTAGGGTTTAGTGTTAAGGTTGTAGGGTTTACAGGGTTCATAGGGCTTACAGGGCTTATAGGGCGTATAGGGCTTACAGGGCTTACAGGGCTTATAGGGCTTATAGGGCTTATAGGGCTTATGGGTATATAGGGTTTATAGGGTTTACAGGGTTTATAGGGTTTATAGGGTTGATAGGGTTTATAGGGTTTAGAGGGTGTATAGGGTGTACAGGGTTTAGGGTTTGGGTTGTGCATCAGTGTATGCGCGCGGGGATTGTGCCTGTTCTTTAAATTTAGGGAAGCACTCCCCATCGCGCACTTGTACAGCGTAGCAGCCCCACCTCAGGGCTTAGACCCCCCAACCCTAAACCCTAAACCCTAAACCCAAAACCCTAAACCCTAAACCCTGAACCCTAAACCCTAAACCCTAAACCCTAAACCTCAAGCCCTAAACCCAAACCCCCAGCAAGAGGGGCTTTCTCTGGGTTTTGTTGGGGGGTCTAGAATCTGAAAGGCTCTTGACCTAACAGAGCTCCTTATATGGGGTGAACTCTAAGACTCCAAGATTCATAGTTTAGGTTTTAGGGTTTAGGGTTTAGGGTTCCAGGGGTGCTAGGTACTGGCCTACGCTCCACACTTGGAGGTTCATGGTACTTATTAACCAATCACAACTGTACTTATAACCCCCTTATCAGCCCCTTAAGTGCCCTAAAGTGGTTAGAAGTACAGTCATAAGTACAGTAGCCCTAAACCCTAAACCCTAAACCCTAAACCCTAAACCCTAAACCCTAAACCCTAAACACAGCTATAATTGGTTACTACGTACCGTCCAAGTCGTGACAGTGGAGAGCATCGCGAAGGGGGGGTCCCCCGCGCGTCAGGGCAGAGCCCTGTCCGAGAGGCTCGAGCACCCATGTGTTTGGCCAGTGGCGCTCGCGCCATTTAGGGTTTAGGGTTTAGGGTTTAGGGTTTAGGGTTTAGGGTTTAGGGTTTAGGGTTTAGGGTTTCGGGTTTAGGGTTTAGGGTTTAGGGTTAGGGTTTAGGGTTTAGGGCTTCGAGCACCCATGTGTTTGGCCAGCGGCGCTCTCGCCAGCTTGGGGTTTAGGGTTTGTAGGGTTTTTTGGTGTTATAGGGTTTGCAGGGTTTATGGGGTTTATAGGGTTTATGGGGTTTATAGGGTTTATAGGGTTTATGGGGTTTATAGGGTTTATGGGGTTTATAGGGTTTATAGGGTTTATGGGGTTTCGGGTTGAGGGCTTTGACTGTACTCCTTTTGAGTGTTGGAGCTTTCGGGACTTGAGGAGGTTTTTAGGGCTTCAGGGCTTCCGCTTAAGGTATATTATGAGGTTTACATTGAGCACCCCCCACAAGAGCTCCTGTTTTGGTGGGCGTTCGAACCCTAAGCCCGGAAATCCCAACCGTAACATTAGGCCCTAAGCCCCAGCATGAAAGCCTCCCAAAAGGGATTTTGGAGGCAAACCTTTGGGATTCTTCGGGGTTCTGCATGCAGAATGGTTGGAGGCTACTTGCTCGAACCCTGAATCCTAAACCCAAACCTGAAAGAAATTGACCGCCGCCGGTTGTGCCTGTGCGCTTGGTCTGGGTCTTTCCAAGGACCCTGGACCCTAAACGCACACAAACCGAGAACCCTTCAACTCTCAACAAACATTCAACTGAAAAATGGCTCCTGATTTTGTTGTGTGTCGCAACCCTTCAATAAAACTCATCGTAGTCTCGCGACAGTCGCTTTTTTTGGTTGGGGGAACCAATACCAAACGCGAATCTGCGAATGCCCATCGCTTGGGGATTACAAGGCCCGGGCGTAAAGCAGGTACAGGTGCCGCAGAAAAGGCAGTGTCCGCAGCCATCGTCGTGGCCCTCACCCAACCGCCCAACCCTGCAAACCAACCCTACACCCTACAACCCTGAAAGTTAAGGGTTTAGGGTTAAGGGTTTAGGGTTTCGGGTTTAGGATTTAGGGTT